TATATATATACTGAGTCATTTAACAGGAATTATTAGATGTAATATCTCCAAAAATATTATTTGACAGGACAGCCTTCTTAAAAAAGACACATTTTTTCACGGATGTAATTTGTTGGTTTCAATTTCTGTAGTGAGAGAAAAAGCTTAAACTTGTTACGGATCGGCCATATGAAAATGCACTGTATTTTGCATTACTAATCTTGATGCCATTAACGTACATGTATTTCACCAAATTTATACCTCTAGTAAAATGAAGATTTAAATAAAAAAGCTTTTAGGGCTCTTATGCGTATAAGAAGTTGGCTTGTACCACTTTAGAGTTGCTAAATGAAAAGTGGTCATACAACCAAGTTCTTAAAATAACTGACCGAATCCATATCAAAACAGTATGCAAGATCCTCAGAAATCCGGACGTAAGTCATGTAAGATGTGCGATTAGAATTCTACGCTCGGTAATAGAGACGTATTATTTACTGAACGCAAAACATCGCTTGCAGGAATTGCGGAATCTAATCAGGGTTTGTCTAATACTTTTGATAACTTGATCGTCGATTTTACACATTACAGATAATATGTTTAATCTGATTTCGGGGAAAGTTGCTTTACTTGCATAGATTACCAGGATTCTATATCTAGTAACTTTGCTTTTTTTGTAGGAGTCAAAAGAATTTAGAAAGAAAGAGGATCCAGTAAATGATTATATTAAAAAGGAATTGATAAATCGGTTGGTATGTGGGATGTGCGACTTATATATAGCAAACCTCGTTAGAGATAGGGAAGGTGAGGATGGTAGCAGTGAAAGTTGGACACATGAATTTTGTGATTTCAAAGCACTTCTCGCTGAGTTGAATCTAACTGATGCAGAAGCAATGCCATGTAGTAGTAAGCAAAAGTAAATGTGGGTTACTTTTGCAATGTAAACAGGAAATTCTGTTCCACTTATCTGAGTGATACATTGTTATCTCCATTTCACTCTGTTACTGTTAAAAATAGACTTCTAATGTTTTTGTAATAATTTAAACACTTTATGGCTTACTCTCGAAGAAATACATACTTGGTAACTGAGCAATGGAAATATTTTGTTATAAATGATACCATTTTCTGAAAAGCTTCTCCAGCATCTTTTTCAAATGTTTTATTGCTTTCGATTAATGCATCTTGAATGTTTTCCTGCTAACGAATTACTTGAATCACCCTAATATCTTGAGAATTTTATGGATCTCGAGATATTTATTTAAAGAATACATGGTTTAGGCAATTTAAAAAGGAATTATCTTGGAAATATTCCGTCATTACCTCACACTCATAAGCAATATTCAGGTAGCTCAAGCAAAGTAACGAAAAAATCACAAGCTGGTTTTGATGCCTTTAAAGATAATTGTGGTGATAAATGTGTTAAAGTTATGATTTATTACTGTACCTTCTCTCAGATTTTCAAATACTAGCACCCACACAAAAAACACAAAACTGAAAGAACATAACGGTGTAGACGTACATATGCATATATCGAAATGTCTTTATCATCAGACTACAATAAAACAAGTTCGACACGCAAAAAAAATTATGCACTTAAGATAAAATAACAGATGCAAACTGCAGCACAATTATGCTTTGAATATTTCGCACAGACAAAGAACGACAATTATGGAATGAACATTCAAAGCTGTGAAATCTTCGATAGAAAGAATTATGAGTACAATTAAGATCACATCATATGAAAATAAAAAGGAGTTTTTTGGAGTTTCGGTCTTAATTCTGGCTTTATTTTACTAAATCTAAAGCAGGACCCGTCAATAGGACAAAATTATATTTCAGCAACATCATACTTTATATACATTGCCTATAAATAATGCAAAATTTACAAATATATGCTACTATGACCTAAAGAGATAAACAGAGTTAAGGTGTTGGTTATCAGAGATATCCAAAAACAGCTCATACACCGTACTATTCCTGTAAGAGAATAGTAGGATTTGTTTACGGCTAAACAGTAGCATAGACTTACAAGCAGTAAACTGATTTCCTTTACTACAGACTTTCACAGATGCTCATTAATATTAATGAATAGAAACACAGTTGACCATAGCTGACGTCCCTAAATTTCCATTCGAAAACATAAACAATAATACATATGTACCTGACACTACGTATATCGACCATTTAATTTTCTGAATACAAACCAAAAATTATGCCACAAATAATTTTAGGTTTTATTTTTCAATTTCATTTTCTTAAGTTGCAGCATCTGATAAAATGGATCGTAATTTATCGATCGCCTGAAAAAATGATTTAAGTAGATATTGCATTTTTTGGAATGCACAAAAATACTGAGATACTGAACAATAAAAGTTCAAGAGCGTCTTTAATCAATAAAGTAAACATATTCTGAGAATGAATGTGCATTATTAATTGTCTAATTCACTGCCCATTCTATAAGAAGAAGGAATTAGAACATTTAATATTCCCCCAAGAAATGGAAATCCGAATGAAGGAACAAAAACCTTTCTTGAAATTACATAATTCAGATGCATTTAGATCTGAATATGAAGATAGTCAACTTACTCAATGGCATTTATCCACTGATTCATCTCTTCTTGTGAAAATGCACACATTTTGTAAGATGTATGTCGTCCAACAACTACTCTACCATCAGGTTCAGTTTTACAAGCTTTAATTATCTGAAAGTAACTTCTTACATGAAATGTGGCTCATTTTGAAGAAACTTTGAATGACTATTAAGTTAGAAACTTCTATATTTATTTTTATCGCAAATATTTCAACATTTTTCTCTACTAATAATTACAAACCTCACTGCTGTCACTGTAAATTTCAAAACAGTATGGCCTGCCTTTTTCTTCAACCGGACGAACACGAACATTTTCTAAAGGTATAATTCCACGTGGTTCTTTAGCCTTCAATAAATCATATTAAGCATGTTTTTGTATTCATACCTTTTTTGTTTGAGAAAAACGTTCCCGTGTACAGATGGAGACAAAAAATTGAACGGAGTAAACTACACAATAAAATTGAAGTTATTATATACAGAGAAACTAAAAAATCTCACAAGAAGCAGTTTTCTGAAGCTCAGAAATACAAGCAATAAACAACATAAAATCTTACTGTTGTATGCTCAAAATAATATAGGCATTTTTCCGCTAAAATGAACCATCGCCTTTTCCATGATTTCAAAAAGGGACGTGTTGTAGCCAACTGTGACGATGCTGAAAAAAAAAGATTCAGAATGTGACAATATCTGCGAAGAAATTAAACTACCAACTCAATATTTATATAACACACCTTGTTTCAACAACCACCCTTCACGATCTGGGTTGAAAAAAGTATTGTAAAATTCGCCATCATCTGTTGGAAACTGGAAAGGCTCAGTCCGAATGGATTCATATATAGTCTTAAAAAATAGTTTTAAATACCTTTTATTCTATTAAAAAATTTTTTTTCTCATGAAAATTTTAGTCTTCTTAAAATTCCGTCAGTTCTGCAACACAGTTATATAAAAATTCAAAAAATTGTTCTCTAATACTACAGACCTACTACTTCATGGGTAATTTATACATCAATACAGTTTTTAACACATACTTCCAATAATTCTTTTGGAACGTCTCTTCCTTCATCGATACCATGATACATTGTTATGAAACCATCTAATGTTAGAGGAGTTTTCACATTTCTATTATGGAGTGCAGTATTCAACATTACGATAGCAAAACACAATATGTAGCACGTATCTGCAGACAACTAATTTTTAGGAATTTATTACTGAAAAAAGTTTAATAAATTGCATTCGAAAGCTGCAAAATCTTTGCATTTATTTTTCTGCTATGCTATCAGAAACCGAGAAGTTGAAAAATGATTGTCAAATTCAATCGCAAGCTTACTAAGCAAATGTATTGCTTGGTTTGCATTAATTCACAAACTGCTTTTTGATCCATAAGTTTAATAATGAAAAGAAAACCAAAAGTTATAATTGTAATAGCACTTTACAAAATTACCATTTATGTCTCAAAATAAAACATTTCTTTCTACAAAAGAACTGACAAGTAAGTCATTGAAAATAACAACCTTTGAAAATTATAATAACTTGGATGCTAACTGCTACAATATCACAAAGCTTTTCATTTGCTTACCAACACTAGAAAAAACTCCTGGATTGTTTGTACAGTAACGTCGTGCAAATGCATTAACCATGCGATCAATTTTCTGTGATTCACCGGGTAAACGAAATGACCAAAAAAATTGCCTGAGAGCTTGCACCAAAATGAGATCTGTGAAATCATGCAGTTCGCAGAACTTTTCTAGCACTTCCAAATTAAATGGATTATTTTCCCCCAAATAATCACCAACAGCACTTTTTCTCAATCCTAAATAGTATCAAATAGGATTAAAATGTCAAAAAATATTTTTTTTTTGGTGATAATATCCATATTTCAGAAATTTCTAGATCATATTTCAATTAGGATAAACTAAAAATAATACAAAGAGCAACAAACTTGAAGAATTTTATTATATTATACAATAAAAAGTCAAAAGATTCGAAAATTAAAAAAACTTACCTTCTCCTTTGTACAGGAATTCAGCAACTGAGAGTGGTGAATTACGAATGAGGTTATGCTGAATCATATATTCCATGCCCTTTTTGGGATCCATATTAAAATTCTTTCGAGCTGTAGACATATGCCTTCCATTCGGACTATATCTAAATTAAAATGCATCTTCATGAATTCATTGTGAAATACGAATGGAATGAAATAAACGCAACAAAAATTGCATACGCAAACATTTGACTTATTTTAAAACTAACTCTTCGTCAGGAATATCAATTGTTGCTAGCTGTGCATTGATTTCGTCTAATTCTGAACGAATTTCCTGAAAAGAAAACTCATATATAAATGAACTGAAAAGCTTTCCCTTATGCAAGTAATAAATTGAAAGTAAATAGAAAATACAAATTACTTCGACATCCTCATTGATACCAGAACGGCGAGCACGCAAAAATGCTAAATCCTGAAGTTCAGCAGGAGTGAGATCAGCAGTACTGAAGTATGCCATGAAAATGATGATTTGGATTACGCATGAATCAAATATACTATTCTAAGTTTCTGAAAACCATCAGTACATGCTGCATACAAGCGTCATTGTATATTTCGTAAAAAGCCGCATATCATGCCTTGAATTATATCAATTTTGATTGCATACTCACTCCGTGTTTTCTCATCATTTCAGTGCTTTTACATACTATCCATTTACTTGAAAACACGTCATAATTTAAGTAAGAAACTAAACTGAAATATAATTCAAGGCATGATATCTAACATGCATCTTAACTGTAGAAGCAGAAATAGAAACAGAAAACAACAATACTTTTTAGTACAACTGTAAATTTGTTTTATTTTCTCAACAAATCTTCACGACAAAACTTCTCAGCACCAAATTAAAGATGATAATATATTAAAGTAAAACAATAATCTTGCTAAAACTTCAATAAATTAAGAGCATCCTACACATACTACCTCTCTAGGCCAAGAGAAAGGCAGCAACCTAATTTACAACTTGACTGGTTACATCGGTTAAAACCGACATATTTACTTGAGAACTGCGAAGTGCCAATGCACACATTATTAATATGCATACTCAACACACATATGCATCCCCAGCTCATAAAAGTATATTGGTGTTTGTGTACAACCAATTCGCTGTAAGAATCTGTGAATAGCCGCGAGAATGAAAACCTTTTGCAATGTACGATCTGATGAACATGTGACAAATACGAACTCAGCTCTGTGAACTTTAAAATTTCACAGACAAAAATAGTTACAAATATGAAATCGAAAATCGCTACAACTTTGATATCGGAACCATTCTTAGCAAAGTTTCCACTAGTTTTTCAGTTGTCTTCAACTATCTCGAAGATGTGTGTCTAACAGTTCTACTGTTATCGAATACAAATGTATTCAATTTGTCTTGCAAATGAAATGAACAGCACATAAATTTTTATATTATGATCTTATTCAGATATGATCAAATGTATTTCAAACATGAAAGACAATAATAATCCCAGTAAATCATAGCGTTACATTAAGGCACAGAAATTACAGAAGGGATATGAATCAATGAAAATTATTGTGATAAATCAAAACTACCTGTAACATGGAAAGATAACAGAACTGAACATCACAAAGTGAAACATCAGCAAATGTCGAAAGATTCGCGAGATTCAAATACTTTTTTCGAAACTACTCAAAAACTGACACTGAAATAAAGGAAGATTACACTTGTTAGGAACAATAAAAAGTCCGAAAATCAATACTAAGCAGGAAAGAGATGGAAGTCTTGACTACAAGAAATTCAACATAACATTTATGTTACTAATGGTTCTGTAAAAAAGAGATTCATATATAATGACAAAATAAAGAGACAATACAAAATGGCTTGTATCTGCAACAGTACTTATTTTGTTCATTAATAATGTGTAACTACTACTATTTTAATAACTAACACCGTAAGAAATCTAAAAATTATACATTTAATACCACCTACTGATAAATAATACTCATCTAAATTTAATTTTAGAAAATATTCTCAATTTACAAAAAAAGCATCTTTAGGAAATAACTGTTACGGACTAAACATGGAAAGTATCAATAATTTGGTAACAAAAAAATCTTTAAAGTTATAAGTCTATGAACTTTTTATGAACTCATAATTTACCCGTCAATTTGATGAAGTACGCAATCAGAAGAAAAATTATGCAACCTAGACGGCCTTACACAGTCTGATTTGCTCGTATCGCTAGTTGAGCTGCAATCATAAGCAGAAATATTTCGAGTTAGCACCTACAAAAAAATAGAACATTATAAAATCACTACATTAGAAAAATTTACTGAACATGCCACCAAAAACAAGAGCATACATCACCAACAAGAAAGATGACTCCGGAAATTGAGAGCCCTGAGAGCAATTATTTAAGGAGTCAAGATGCGAGGTTTACAAAAAATCAAAGGTAATAAAAGATAATGAAAAAGTGCATATTCAGTAATCAGCTCTAAAGCTCTAAAGCTCGAAGCTAGTTTAGCAAGGCACTAATATGGATTTTTTTTGGCAGCTGCTAAGAGCAATCAGAACGTAATGCAAGCATTTAGATTGGTTATAAGAATAAAAAACCGATATACCTTTGAAAAATGATGCTATAATTACACAAAAAATTAAACGATGAAATTTGGAAACTGATCAGGAGTTGTCGAATATGGTGATGCTTAGAAGGAATTCTTCTTGCAATCTGTCGGAAAGAGATTTTACGGTTGGTGCGGAGAAGAATGAAACTTCATCTTTTCCAACATATCCTAAGTAAAGAAAAGTCAAGAAGAACAACTTTTCAATAAACACTTTGGTCCTGAAAAACATAATATGATCAATAAGCCCTCATGAATTGTTAACAATGACTCTTGAATCCTCTCTTTTCGAAACTTCAGTAATTTTCAAAGTAAAATGTACTTCGTCATTCAGGCAATATATTATAAAATACACGTTATAATATTAAAGATATGAGAAAAAACCTGAAATTCGATGACAGAAAGGAAAGGTTGTATTTGTTGGAGTATTTCCCAGTCAAAAGGGATAATATTCTGATTCTGAGAAGTCAAAATTAAATGACGAATGTCGTAAGCAGTCTGACCACCACGTTTTTTATGAATTTGGAAGCCATTAATAGTGTGAATCATAATATGAGGATAGTAAGATTTCAGAAAAAGTTGACTACTTTCAGAGAGAGGCACTGTGTTTTGTTTAATCGAGCAGAATCGAGTTTTCAGGTCACATAACCGTTGCTCCATCTGCATAATTTCTCCTATAACACCTTATACAACAAGTAGTATTGTGAAACACAAATTTACGTTGTTTTACAAAATTGAAAATTGAAAAGATAAAGGAAATAACCTGGTGATAAGTTCGGATAAAACGATTCGACAAATATAACTGGGATATTAGACAATTCTTCATCAGTAATACTTAGAATGTATTCACGTGCGTTAATCCGCTGATTCAATGCGTTATCCAAATCAATCTGTTCATCAGATGCAAGTTCAGAAACATCAATACCACCTAATGATGAGATAGTAGAAATTTCCTGAAGATTTATTCATTTAATCTCTTGATCTGAGAAAACTACGCCTAAACGACATATAAATATTGCAAAAGCATAAACTACCTGATTTCCCTTGTATTTTAAAGATCATATAAATGATAAACATAAACTTAATTATTTTAACCAATTAATTAACCTTTTTTGGTAAATCATGCTTGCAAATATCATGATTGTGAGGTGTAGAAGCTAATGAATTCTTGACTTGAGGTGTACTTTCTTCCAGCACAGATGACTGAAACATAAAAGGCAGCGTGGCAACATCAGGTAAAGGTTCAATTATTATAGGTTCAGATACATCTAAAGGTTCCGTCTGACTTGCAAACGTGGCATCTGTTTCATCGGACTTCACACCGATTCCACAACACCGCAAAAGGGACATTCACAAATTTGTTGAGCACTCTTAAATTGCACACAATGAGAATGAACAAAAAATAACAACAGGTGATGGCAGTAACAAAAAAATACATTTACACCTGCTGCTTTTTCTTACTAATATTTTTACTAATTAGCCGTAAAGACACAGAGCAAACTTCTTAACATATAAGAATACAATGATGTCATGAGCAATGCAAACAATAAAGTTCAGTCTTGCAAACTGTCATGGACCGGGAGGGGAAATGCAGCACGGAATGCAATTTTTTCATATTATTGCTGTAAGTATTATCACGTTTATCGTTGTGCTTGACGTTTCAGGTTGGAGTGACATGTGGCTGATGTGAAGTACTGAAGAGAGCAGAGAAGAAAATACGAGTGGAAGGAAGACTTACATGTTACACATGCTTAGTGATACCATAGAAGTTTACGGATCAAAGGTTATAAGGATAATCAAAGTGGCAATCAACAATAGTGTATGGTTGAAAATTTTTTATTGTAAGGGATAATTGCATGAATGGAAAATGTTTCGGTTAAGAAAAAATATAGTAATGATTACAGTGCGTATTTTAACTGTTGATGATGAGACATTTAGCATTGATCATTGCGCAATGCAACCTAATTATCATCTCATATGCTTAAGTTACTCACATTCACTTAATCTATTTTTTTTAGCAAGGATCTATTTTTTGGTTTTTGATCAGAGATTATTATGTAATGTAAAGTCGAACACTGTAGTGTATATGATCATTCATTCCATCGATTAAATCTATCAATCAATTAATCATTTCAAAGATGAGAGCAAACGTATCCTTCTTTACTGTGAATCTAATGGGTGTAGACATATTGTTATTTTTAATAGCAAATACTAGCTACTAATAATGAAATATTAGTTAAGGATAATAATACTATTATTATTAATTTCAGCACTGGAATGCAGACATTTGTGTTGCTGCTTTCCATACTACCAATAAGCCGTTCCTACGATGGTGAGACAGTTTCTGTGGTAGCAAACGATGTAAGTAGAAATGAAAGAAAGTTCATAATTTATGATATTAATTATGGCGAAGGATTCAATTTACGTCGAGATGTTTTTATGAGGTTCTAATTTATTGCTGATTCTTTTTATCTAAGTCATCTGTCTGATAATTTCTTTTAATATTATCATTGCTAGTACAGAAATGAATGATCAAAAATTTCTTTCATGGTTTTGTAGTCATCCCGCTATTGAATAATTGTGCTTGTAAAAACTTATCAAAATTTCACCATTAAAGTTAATTAGTCATAATACTTGTTTTTCACTAATTTGTAGAATTGCTAGTACAGTAAGAATTTTACGAGAGAATGGTCATAATTACGCACTAGTATTGCCTCCATGGGGTGGTCTTTATCACTGGCGCAGAAGTCATTTCAAAGTCCCGTGGTCGAAGTTTTTCCACATCAGAAGTATCAATGAACTCGTTCCTGTTATTGAGTTTCACAGATTTTTGAAAGGTTTGCTATTAGACTTTGTCATAAGCTTAACTTTCAATAGAACTCTCACCCCTATTCACTCATTCACGATCATTAAATTTGTTTATTTCTCAACTGCAAAAAGGTAGTTTTGAGAATATCATGAAACATTTTAAATATTTGAATTGCAAACGAAACCTGAATACACACCAAAACTGCAGCTGTTCCAAAGTTGAAATATGAAAGATCTTTTTTCGGCTTTATTCCAGAAACGAACTACGATGCAATTGACCAAGTACTTTATCTTCAAAATTATGCAGAAGGTTGGGAAAGCGGAAAATATGAAATTAAATATGATCAGCGAGATTGTATCAATGGCGATCGCCATTATAAATTTATTGGTGGAGTATGGTATTATAAATTTTCTGCATATATTCAATACTACTGAGTTTACTTTATGACAAATCTAACTATAAAACGTGTGTTTTGTAACAGCTTGGTGGAAGAAAGTCGTGCGCCAAGTCCCAGCGCCCAGTTAGATTTCACAAGTAAAACAAAAACATATATGTTCTTCTCCTCTTGATTTAATTTAACAAAGAAATGATTATTTCAACATTCAGGTTTATTTTTTTGGTGAATGATATTCTGAAAATTACTGTACTTGTTGATTGCAGGAAAGGGTGGTTTTTTGCATATGATAATGTTCATGCTCGCAATTTTACATGCATTTCAATACAAGGTGATTCGGAAACACTAGCTGCTATGATTCAAAAGAATTATTCTCATGCTAATTCATTGATGATTGATCGTGCAGAAACCGTGCTTCATGCACATTTTGGTGATTTTCACTACTGGGAAGCGAGACGTTCTATGCGTTACGCAAAACATCTTCGGCTTATCGCTGATAAATTTAGGTAACGTGACCAAATTTAGATTCACATGTACACCTTTTATAGTACAGTGTGAATGTTTTGAATAGGTTCAATGTCCTACTAGATAACTATACTACTGCCTACAAACTTCTGAGACAATTTTTTCCTTCAAGGAACCTTTTCATGTTTTAAGGCAAGAACGGCTGAATTCAAACGATGCAAAAGATAGGACTGTACTTCCCGATTCGTGGAAAACAACCAGAAAGGTATGTTGCATCTATAAATTTTTTTCTCTCAGAGTCTCACCAAATTTATTCAGTCCAAAGTGATTTTAAGAAGCATGGTGAAGCTCAAGGAGGAGATTACATTTGTGTTCACTGGAGACGTCGCGATTTTGTTTCATCTCATGGTGCTGAAATACCTTCTATTAACGGCACTGCTAAGCAGGTTCCCAGTTTCTTCTATTGAAGGACATATGTATTTCATTAAAAAGTGCATATGGGACAACAATCTATCTCATTTCGTATCAATAAACCTAATAAAACCTAGGTGATTCAATTTTTAAAAACACTAGACCTGACCTTACACACTTCTTCTTAAGATTCTTGCCATTTTGCGAGCACAAAAACTTATGACTGTATATTTGTCTACTGATGCTCCTCCCAATGAAGTTGATGCCCTCATCGACCTACTGCCATCTACTGTACGAGTGGAGCGATTCTCAGATGAGTCATCTCTAAATGACGGAGAAGTCGCTATTGTTGATCAGGTATTCTCCATTTCTGATTGACTAAAATTAAGCACAAAATCGCTCACACATTGTGTTCTTCTTTCAGTGGATATGCGCACATGCCCGGCACTTTACTGGGACACATATGTCCACTTTTTCATATCGAATACATGAAGATAGAGAAATTATTGGGTTCGAACCTGAGCAAACTTTCAATAGATTATGTCCCGATGATAATGACCATTGTAAACAACCCTCTGAGTGGACTATTGTTTACGAATGAAAATTTAATGACTGCTGATTATACATATGTGTTTCATCAACTACACTATTGAAAGTTGGCTTTATCACATTATTTCACTTCATAATTATTATTATCGTTATCATATTTATCCAACGTAAATAAGAATTACAGTGAAATAAAAAATGTAATGAAATGAGTTTGCTAACAATAAACAAATCATAATTAATATCAGGCTCGAACAGGTGCACTTTGAGCAAGAAACTCCCAATAACGCTGGTAAGGGGTTTTTTCCAATATGTGTTCCCTCCATAGATCAGGAGTTAGATAAGAATACGTTCGCTGAATCGCAGCATAGGTAGCCTAAATTATTAACATAAGCAAATTTGATTCCAAATATGTGTAATAGTGAAGAAAACATTTTAAAATATACTAGAAACAACAAACTTTAGCAAAATTGCCCAGAGTAGCAGTCTGTCCAACAGCTGACGTGTAACAATCTTCTACACCAGCCATTTGTAGTAATTTTTTAGGTACAGGAGCTGAAACAATACCAGTTCCCCTTGGAGCAGGAATAAGACGCACCAAAACTGACCCACACTTTCCTGTAACCTAGAACAAAAGAAAGTATTTTCCAGTTCGAAAGAACATTACCATTAATTTCACTTTTTGAGTAAAAGAAAAAATACTTTGCACGGTACGGTGTGAGGTTGACCAATTTTATTTCCCCAATACCCGCGTCGAACTGGAATTACTGATAATTTGGCTGCAATAATTGCTCCACGAATTGCAGTTGCCACTTCTTTTGAGCACTTGACTCCCAAACCTACATGACCGTTATGGTCTCCAATAGCTACGAAAGCCTGAATACATGAGCTTTTTGAAGGATCGTAAGACTTCACAAAAACTAGTAAAAAATACTCTCAATTCCACTAACCTTGAAACGGGTTCGCTGTCCTGCACGAGTCTGTTTCTGTACTGGCATAATTTTCAGAACTTCATCCTTCATATTCGATAACAACATATCAATGATCTCAAATTCCTGAAACAAAGGGTAACATTATTTAATATCAGAGAACAGTGAATCAGAATTTAGTTATTGACAACCAGCACGAAGAGTAAATTACAAGAAAGCTGCAGCTTACTTTGATAGGTAGTGAATTTAGGTAGATTTCCTCAAGTGACGTAATTTTTCGGTCCTTGACCAAACGACCTAATTTTGTAACTGGGACCCATTCTTTGTCCCCTCCCTCTTTACCACCCCTGGAATACCAAAAATCATACCAAATAATTATTGTACCCGTGATAAAACAAAAATTGTCAAGAAACACTGGTTTATGTAACACCTGATTTGTGGTAAAGACTGTTGTTAAAAATAGTTCCAATTATCAAAAAAAATCAGAACTATAAGGCGACTTTTAATTGATACCAATGCGATTATCAAAAAAATGCAAATAATGCTATGATACAAACCTTCCCCCACGTCCTCCTCGACCTCGCCCTCGACCACGTCCACGCTCACCAGCTCCACCACGACCGCGACCTAATTTTGATTAATTTTTCAGTTAATATAGCATGAATAAAAAACTGAATTCAAACCAATTAAAACTGCTCCAAAATCCAGTTGCAGCATGATGACTATCCATATCAATACAACTTGATGCAGTTAAGAAAATATGAATGAAATTTTGTCTACAATTTAAAAGCGATAAATTAAGCACTAACCACCTCTGTCGCCACTACCAAATCCTCCTCTAAAACCTACGCGATCAGTCATTATCACACAATAAGAGTCCAAATTATTGCTTCAAGCCGTTAAAAATCCGTATGACAAAACGTAGAGAGTAACTGCCAGCTAGACGGCAAAACAATAGTTCAGCAGCGTTGTTCTGCAAACGAAAGCCTACAAATTCAAGTACTTTAAGAGGTTAAAATCAGATAACAGATGATACCGCTACTTAAAAATGCGCATTTCACGGTTTCTAGCTCAACTTGGCAGATCAATTCACAAGTACTTCATCACTGCCTGAAAATATAAAGTTCTAATTTTCATGAACCATGATAACAAAGGTTTAAGAAGAAAGCAGTCAATAGTTTAACAATGCAGACTATGATCAATAAAACAAGCCTACTTAATAATACAACAAAACTAATCGTAATGATTTGAAAACAAAAAAGCCAAAGAAAAATATGCAGTTTTAGTAATCGAAAAAAAGGCTCAGATTCCCCTCTTTTCTGAGTAAAATAACACATCTAAACACTGAGATCAATGAGTAAAAATTTTGTCATGTTATGCAGTATTCAATGCCACAAAGTAACAAGTGATGATACAAGAAAAACAAATAAACTATGAATAAAATACAATTGATATGAATAAAATATAACTTTAATGCGATAATAAAAAATGGTCACTTTCAACGACTCACAACAGGATATAGACGTAGAAAAATGTACAGGGAGATTATTCATGAGGTTAAGAATTTATAAAACGTACGATGGTGAAACTTAAAGAATACCAGATTCTCAGCTTCTTATATATGCAACATTATACTAAATAACAGAAGGTGAACTGCAGTGAAGTCAAACCATCATTACAGTCCTTTGATGCATCATATACTTTCAATAGCATCACGTTAGTGTCAAAACCTTTCTACTGAAACATACCGACCTAAAATTTAGAATCGTCACTCTGTTAAATCTGCTGTCATAAGCAAAAGGTGTGCAAAACTAGTATAATACAAAGAGTAATACCAACAAACGAGAGTCATAAGATAAAATGAAAGATTGAAGAGTAGATAGATACAACGTAAACATTTAACATCGAAATGGAAAACGAGGCCAAATATAATTTGGATACATTTATTCACGGGCCATTTGGTAGTGCTATGAAAAATATGAAAATATTTCTAACGGACCGTAACACTAGATTTGGATGAGGTTGTCAAAAATGTACTCGTCAGCGTAGCAGTTAAGTATTGGTTTCCCATATTATCTTCAATTCTTATGATGCTTTTAACGCTCTTTCAAATAGTTTTACGTGTTGTTAATTTTTGATGGTGTCGTTTTACTACAGTATGCATTTATTTTTATCTTATTAATCTAAAAAAATTGAAACTTGGAGACAAATGCAATAAATTCATGAATATCAACAAAAAACAAGGTTGCATCTATGATAAAAATTTGGTTCATAATAAGAAAAAAGCTTTTTTTTGTCATGAATACTGGTCTTATCAGTTTATTTTCCTTTGATTGACACTTTTTCAAAAATACATAGCCTGTTTTCTTGTTTATTTCGCAAAAAAGTACAATAAATCGATGCATGAGAAAGTATATGAATGGATATTTTGAGACTATTTTTCTGAGTTTTATTTACAAAAATTTTAACTGTTTATTGATTTTAGTTGCTTTGTCAAAAAATGGGAAATAAAATCTTATCGGATAATTTATGAAATAATTCTAATGACAGTTAACATTTTTTTTTGTTAATCAGGACATTAATTGCGTCAAGAAATTATATTCTGTTCCATAAAGTTACGCTATTTAGGTTATTAATTTGATCAATTTTAATTTTCAGATATTTTTCCAGTTCTCAAATTGGGCAGATCTTTACAATGTTATCAAGAAATTTATTTGTTTGTTTTTTCCACTTCATAACCACTTCACTCTTCCCGGTCTCAGGTTTATTTCAAATGCTTAAAGTTATTAAAAGTTGTTTCTCAACTAATTTGAAGAAATATGTGAATGTTTTTCATGTTTATGCAAGTCTGTTATTGAAGAGTGTAAATTCAAAAGCAGTGAGGTTTAGGGAGTCAAGTACTTGAGTTCATTAGATCATGTGTTTCCGTCTTAAAATTTGTATACACTGCTTTGTTTCTGTTTTTATTATTTTGCCATGACTTTCAAGCTTGAATCATTTTTTCTTTGATGGCTACAAAAAGCAGTACAATATTTGTGATCAGTGTTTAAGGAATTTACATTTTCATTGCACTAAAGCTATTTTTGGCACAAAAATGCGTATCGTTTTACAGCAGCTTCGCTGGCAACAATGTCTATAGACCTTGGTTCTCAATGGATAAAAATGGCTTTGGTTAAACCAGGTGTTTCCATGGAGATAGTTTTAAATGAAGAATCGGGAAGAAAAACACCTAATGTGATTAATATTAAAAACAATGAACGTTTTTTTGGCGATGAAGCACTTTCTTTTGTATGAGTTTCTTTTATTTTATGGGTTGTAGAGGTCACAGAAGTTGCTAATGTGTTCTAGATTACACTTAAAGTTCAGCAATTTGTGTCTCAATTTGTCTTTTCTATCGAGAGTTGAAATTTTTTTTTGCAATCATGTCGCTCAAGAAGGTCATTTAAAGGAGAATTTATGATATCATTACGAATTTTACAGAGTGTTAAGCACTACGAAAATTCCTTTACTCATTTGGTGGATCTTTTGGGTAAAAAATTCGATAATCCGGTGGTAGCACTTTACAAACAACGATTTCCGTTCTTAAAGATTATTCCAGATGACGTCAGAAACGTCGTACAGTTTGATGTGTAATTTTTGTGATTTTTTCTGGAAAATTTTACATCATATATTTGACTAGAATATTTTATATGGCTTAAAAAATGAGTTTGAATTTCAACAGCTAGGCTGTGCGAGAAAGACTGTCAATGAAATATATTTTAGGGATGGAGACACTTATAATATTGAAACTCTCATAGCAATGATTTTGAAGCGATGCCAAAAAATTGGCGAGAATTATGCAAAACAGGAAGTGAGAGATGTAGTCATCACAGTTCCGGCGTTTTTTAATCAAGCAGAACGACGTGCTGTTATTGCGGCAGCTAAAATTGCTGAACTGAATTTATTACAAGTCCATGTTTATTTCATGCTTTTTGTTAAATGTTTTAACTTCGTCTTTTAATGGTGAATTTTCAGTCGTTTGCATTTTAAAACCAGATATTAATCTGTAAACTACACTTTTGAACAGTGAACCATACTTTGATTTGCTTTTAGTTGCTCAGCGATCACGTCGCTGCTGGTTTAAGTTATGGTGTATTTCGCAGAAAAGAAATTTCTGAGAAATCAGAGACTCTATTGATTTATGATGTTGGTGCATCGAAAGTAACAGCTTCAGTTCTGGAATATGCTGTGTTAGCTGAGAAAAAAGAAGGTGAAAAAGATCCGGTGATGACAACATTGGGCGTTGGGTAATTTTAACAGGCATTTTTTTCATTTCCCATCATAAGAGACAAAATTTTTGAGTGTCATATACTATACTTTTTATCTCAATTGTTGCAGCTATAATCGCATGACTGGTGGACTTGAAATCACCCAGCGACTTCGCGATATTTTCGTAAATCATTTTCGTAAAAGTATGAAGACTAAATCCGATATCACAAAAAATCCTCGCGCAATGGCTAAAATGTTACAAGAAGCAGAACGCGTAAAAATTGTGAGCTTTTTAGGATAAGATTTGTCTGCATCAAAGATGACGGGATTTTAATTCAATCTTATCTTCGTTATTTTAATGACAACAAGTCGTAGTGCTTGTCAGGTGCTTTCGGCAAACGTTGATTACGTTGCGCAAATCGAAAATGTCCACGAAAACCACGACTTTATGATGCATTTAAGCAGAACAGTAGTGGAAGATTCAATTATGGATTTGGAAGGAAAACTAATGCAGCCTATCATAGATGCCTTGAAAATGGCTGAAATTTCTCTTGAAAAGGTCAAATTCTTAAATTTTCTTATTGTAGTGGAATTTGTCTGGATTGAAATCATTTAAATTAGTTTTCTGTTTTACAGCATATATAAATGGCTTTTCAGGTTGATCATGTAGTGCTTATGGGTGGAGGCAGCCGTGTTCCGCTAATTCAAGAGTTTGTGCAGAAATTCATCAAAAAGTAAAAAATTACAGCACTGGAGTATTATGTCTGACACTTTATGTTATGTAAAGCCTGGATTCGATTTGAAATGAATGCATTTGAAGGAAAGAAGTAAAGAAGTTCTTGAATACCGACGAAGCGATTGCAGTAGGTGCAGTCTATCAAGCAGCTTATCTGAGTAAGGGATTCAAAGTCAAAAAATTTGGCATTCGTGATTTGCAGATGTTCCCGATACAGGTACGCTGCTATTGAGATATTCTGCTTGATTCATTAAATTAATAAATCTTTTCAAATTAATATTTGCCAGTATCAGAGCAATTTGTCTCTATTCTTTTTAACTGCTTAATTCATGGTAAAACTTGTCGACCATCATTTCTTAGTGTTTTAGGTGGATTTTATGAGTGCAAACAATAAAGATGAAAAACGTATAATACATCGACCAATATATCCCTTCAAGTCATTCATTCCAGCATCTAAAAAACTTTTGTCTTTCACTTCATTTGTGGAGGATTTTTCGATTAATGTTAATTACGGAGAAATAAAACAGCTAAGTGCAGATCAGATCATGTAAGAAATTTCGGCTCCTGAATTAAAAAATTAAGGGATGAATTTTACCTTAGTTAGCGTATAAAAGTCACGCATAATATGACATATAGCTGAAGGATATTGCAGGGAATTTGGTTCGCTCAATATTAGCGAAATTAGGGTAGAAGGTGTTGCAGACATATATTCATCGAAAGCAACAAAAGAAGGAATTATCTTCAAGGTTATTTTTTGTGTTAATCATTATTCGGATGCAGAGAAGTCGGACATATTAATTTGTCGTAGAATTTATTGATTTTGGCACTTATCTTTAGTCATAATTTTTTCTTGGTGAAAATGGCAACATAATAATTTTGTTTATATTTAGAGTGTTAAAACGCTTTTTAATTTGGATGGTTCAGGAATGCTACATGCAGATAAAGCCGAAATATTATTTGAACAAATTGAAAAGGCAGAATCAACTTTTGCTTGTAAGATTTAGTAAAATATGCTCAGTAATTTGCGATTCTCCGGAATCGCTGAAAAAATGTAACTATTATATAATGAAAACGGCAAGTTCTTAGTATTTACAATTGTTTCTTAACAATATGTGCAGTACGGAATTTCTTTCAGCACTAGCAGGAAAAATTACTGGATTGTTTTCGTCAAATAGTGTAACTGAAGAAGAAAATGAGATTAATGAAAAAAATTCGAAGTCTAAAGAAGTAATCGATAAAGATCGAAGTACTAATATGGAAAATCAAGCAGGCGATAATGTCGGTTTTTTCGAGTTTCCTAGAAATTCTAAATTTAAAAATTTTCTTTCAGTGACTGTTTTCAGGCTGACTTTTATTTTGAGGAATTTTATATTCTGCATTTTTGCAGGTGACTAATTCAGTGAACGATACAACAAAAGCGAACGAAGTTCGTTTTTTTTTCTATTTTTTGTTGAAATTGTTTCCCATTCATTGCACTGATTTTATGCGTGATTGAAAAATATTTTCAGCCTTGCATGTCCTAAGAAGAATCTTTCATCTTACTTCATTTATGTTGTTTTGTAATTTTATAGTGTACGATTATCTCATGCAAGCTTTTTTATTTTTCGTTACATGGTTGAATCTGTTGTGACTGGTGGTTCTGAAATTAGGTATACACTGAAAGATTGATTGGCTTCTAAAATATCAAGAAACTGAAGTATATTGTTGGAAAATAAATATTGTTTTAGACAAGTGCGAACGTGACAGAGTTGCCAAAAGAGCCAAAAACATTACAAATCAAGATTCCCTTGCAGCTGAAGGAAAGTTTACTGGATGTGCTACCAATTTCCAGCAGCGAAATAACTGACGCAAAAAAAAGGCAATTTTAATAAAATTTCAAATCAGGCGTAGTTATGTCAATCAATTGTTTTTGCAATATTTGTGGAATTAACTTAATAATTTCAGGATTAAAAAGTTTGAACAGAAGGAGGAAGAAAAAGCTAATCGTGATAAAGCACACAATGAGCTTGAGTCGTATGCCATTGATCTGGAACTTAAACTGAATGATGCTGAATTCATCGTAATAATATTTTGATGTTTCTAGATATTGTATGTAGAAATTGAATAATAATTTTAATTGAATCAAATTTCAGCGTTTCCTAACTTCTGATGAGCTTGCTGCTTTGCAAAAAAAAGTATCCCAAGTTAAAATCTGGGTTGAGGAGGAAACTGATATTAGTACACCTGAGGCTGAGTTTGTTAAGAATAAACGATCAATCGATGATTTGATGCAGCCTATTAAAGCTCGTATGAAAGAGGAACAGGTGATGTTTACAGTTTTTGATTTATGTCCATACTTTTGAAATCAGCTCATCTTATTATTTCAGGAGCGTCCTTTGGTGGTAGCTGATTTGATTTCATTGTTCAATCATACGGAAATATTCTTGCTTCTTGCACAGAATCTCTCTGAGTCAACCGAAATATTCACTAAAGTTGAAATCAATTCACTGGCCAAGTTGTTACATGAAACAAAGGTTTGTAAAAAACTACCTAACATTTTTAGTTTGTTAATTTTTGAAATTAATATTTTGGTTTAGCAGAAGTTTTTAGTTACTGAAAAAAATATAGTCACACTTACAAAATGTCACTGTTTCTAATATTTAGTTTTCAGGACTGGCTTGCTGAAAAAATTGAAATGCAGTCTAAATTGAAACCAACCGACCCTCCAGTATTATTAGTTAGTGAAGGAAAGGAGAAGGTAAAAGTTATGAAAAGGAACTTTTCTTTCATTGAATGATACAATTTTTGACATTGATTTTTTTTTAACATAATTTTGTTTCTCAGATTTTGACAGTTCCTTTAAAAACTAAAAATTCACTAGAACCAATTTTCAAAGAAGCTGTCAAAATATATTCTGCGATATGTTTTTTTAATTCGAAACGTTGATCTTAGGTAACTCTATTTCAGTTAATGTCACTCGATCGTGAAGTGAATTATTTATTAAATAAGATGAAATTTGTGAAGCCGAAAGTTAAGAAACAGGAAAAGGTCAACGATACAGGTTCTGAACATGAAACATTGGAAGAAGTTGAGGAATCTAGGGTGTCTTCAAATGAATCAGAAACATCTTCAAAGGAAGAGTCAATTAAATCAACGAAAAATCTAGAAGTTCCTGAAGAGACGATTGAAGTAGCGAAAGAAAATAAAACTGAAAAGGAAGGAGTGGGAGTTCAAAAGACACATGATGAGTCCGAGCTTTAATCTTCGTTTTTTTTTTTTTTGTTATAGTCATTTAAAAAAATGTATGTATTTCTATCAAGTGTGATATGTGTTTCACAAATGTGTGATTTTTCGGATTCGCGGGGCTTCATCATTCCTAAGGATTTTAGTTTTTGTCCATTCAAAATTTGGTTCATTAGATCAGTCAGACAATGTGGTTTCATTGTTTCAGACTGTAATGTAGTGATGGAATAGTGAAATTGTTTATTATATTGTTTGATTATTTCTATATGTTCTGGTTATTTCGTTGTTATTCATTTCCATTTACATTAAGTTATTAAAGTCTATTTTGTTGGATTTTTCGTTTCATTCAGTAAAACCACTGTATGTTGGTTGTAGTACATCTGTATATGCGTTCAAATTGTAATGTTCTGATTTTTTAATGGTAGTTTTTTAAATCCCGAGATTGTAGTAATGTGGTTTTATTTGAGGAAAGAAGTAGTATGGGACGCGATGTCTTGAAGATTTGTCCATTTAGATTATACTCCTGTCGAGATAAGTGCTCAAGTACATGTACTGTTTTCTAATGGTCTGAGTTGGTTACGGTTGCAATTTATGGTCATAGATATTATGTGATGGTGATCACATACTGCGGTTCATCTCTTTTTTGAGTGTGAAATGGGTGAAAATCAGTTCAAACTCGGAGATTCAGTGTAAATATACTAGATATTGATGAGAGGATGTATCGTATGCATGCATAAGTGGTGATTGATGCTTTTGCCTCGGAGATGGTTTGTGTTATTCACACTGGTACCTTGGATTGTCCAATTTCAGTTTTAACAGACTGTTAGAAGTTTTCGCTGCAAACTGAATTGAGACCAAAAGTCCAAGGTTACCATGCTGGTTGTATTATGTGAAGTAGTAATCGTACTACGGTAGGGTGTAAGTGCGGTAACATGTCATGATTATTTTGATAATTATGGTAGTATTAAAAGATTTCATGTGACACTGGCTTAGTCAGTGCTTTGATTTGGTGGAGGAAGAATATAAATTCAGTATTGTCAATGTATGCCGAATAATAGAAGGTGTCGATCTCAGTGGGTATTACATGCTCGTTTTCTATTAAATTTTGCTGGGTTTGAGCAGTAATGGCACAAAAATATTTAAAAAAATGAGACTATTATGAGTACTGTCTGTTCTAATCATGTTAATTCTTGGGAATTTGTATGATTGTTACTTAAGTTTAATATAACTGAGCATTTAATAAGCTATTTGTACAGAATCTAAAACATTTTGTCGCATTGATTTTCTTAATTGATATGCAGTGAAATAATGATGATATGTTCAAAGATTTGTTATATTTGTAAAAGTAAGACCAGTTCTATATTTTGCAATTTCAATATTAAGTACTGAGAACTGGACGAAAATTAAAAATAATTTGAATCTTGCAGTGGAATTTGCTTACAGAAATTTCCTTGATCCACTCCTAGTCGTAGCAACTACGTAACAGCAAAAAATTGAAGCACCTGAATTGTAGCTGCAACTCACAATTTATAGTACAGTTGCTTACTATTATTCTTTGTCGAGATGAGTATAAATTCTTGTAAATGATCTTTTCTTTTTTTATTTTGTCTTTTATATCTCTGAGAGCTAACAATTGAGTAAAACACCCAGTACCATCCGGAATATTCTCACCGTTGAGAGTGTGATTGAGGTTTTAAACTATCCAAGTATATCCCTCGTTGTAAAGCCATCCACGTATACCTTTCGTTGTAAACCTTTCATCTAGTATAGGTGCAACTAGAATGAAGAGACGTAAATATCCACATGGCAGCTACTAGAGCTGTTATTTCTGTCAAGTGTAGTATGAGGCTTGCTTTAGCAGGTAATTGGTGACACAGAAGATCGATGAAAACAAAATAAGATGGATGGGTGAGTCAACGGCATGCCAAATTTGTGGGCTTCAGGTTGGAATTGAAATTTGTTGCACATTTTTTGGGGAAATATGTGATGCATGAGATGTACGAGTTACTGATTGGTTGCATATTTTATCAATTCGATGACATGACGTATGTGTTGTGCATCAGTCTACAGTTTCTAATCATTACAAAAGGACTGTAAGCTTGCACTGCATTTCCGTACTGTTTTAGTACAGTATGGAAATGAATACAAAGTGAAAAGAAATTATAAAAGTTTTTTCATGCATCTTGCTCCTTAGGAGTGCCATGTGATGAAATACAATATTATAGATTAATTTTTTATGCAAATCACCATACAGTAATACATCAACATACATAAAGTAGTATTTCCATTACATAAAGATTAAAGATAGTACCATACATAATGTAACAGATGCTATCTTCTTTAATGCGTTGTTAATTTTGAGGTCATGCCGTATTACAGCACTCTGGCTGTAGTTGTGTCCCGCGCTGATCTCTGCTGCTTCATCTTCATGGAATCCACAGCTGTGATCGAATGAAATCCTTCAAGGTCTTATTGAGCACTATGGATTAAATATACGCCTCAACGTAATCAGATACACTGCTTTCCTTCGCGTAACGTTTATGAGAGTTCATTACAATCCCATCCCAAGTCATCATATACGGAATTATAACCGTCCTGCCTATTATTCGCGAGTACATCATATTTTCGCCTTTTCTTGGTGTCGAGTGCCATCAACCTGTGCAGACTAGTGAATCCAACCTCTATCAGGATTATATGACACTTGCACCGGAATATCCAGTCGATCCGCACTTATTCAAATTGCTGTTCTCATTCGCATATCGACTCTTACTCCACATTCTTATTCGCGACAATCTCCTGAACATAGTGAGAACACTTTTAGATCATACTTTTTACAAAGTGCCAAGGTAGAAGTGCATCGCAGTACTCCACTGTGTCTTCCAATTTAATCATGATATAACACTTTCGCGTACTGCGTTGCCAGATGGCCCATGTCTTCACACGTACCCGATGATGAAGGCACGTACCTTTCTCAGCTCCAAACATTTTTATCCTGTTGCTTCATTAGAGAGGTTATAGCCGCAAGCACAATGATGGAGCATTGAGGATAGCATATAAACTTCACATCTTGTTCAGCTTCGCATGACGAGCTTTTTCTTAACCTACATGATGAGGTTATATTACTTTCGTAGTAATGTATATCTGCAGCGCAATACTGGGTAACAAATCTTCCTAATGTGGCCTTCAATTTCTTCATCAGCGCTATCTCTGCATTGTTAGCGCAATTCCATTAACTGATTCACTCCAAACAAATGGAGTGCATTCTCACTTGATCGAATTAAAGTTTATCTTCTTCATCACGACTGGTGATGGCACACAAATTTCAATCAGGAGATTTCGATTTCTTGGCCATTTATTTTTCTAATCATCGTTTTTATCGTCGCTGAGCTCTTACCACTGATTCATTGGTCGACACCCAATTCTTTAAATTCCATTTTAAGGATGATCATCAGCTTAATTCCAATTCATGAATGGACACTAAGCTGCCTTCTCAAAAATCATGATAACCTGAAAACATATTGAACACTTCATTTCTCCTGCCAAACAATTATTTAGTTAAACTGTTAGTATACATAGCTGATAAAGAAATAAGCTACAATAATCTAACACTATTTTCAATTACACAATTTACACTAATTACGAAGTTCATTAAATACTTACAGTCTTTCTACACTCTTCATATAGATGATTGAATGTTAGCTCCTGCTTCATCATAGCCACTGGAAATGCTCTCTGTAGATTGATAACACTGGTTGACTTTCATCAACCAGTGCTTATGTTTTCTAGAGCTGAAATTCCGGGTTACGACTATCTCGTTTACACTCAGGTAGTGATATACCTGAAAAGACACCACCTTTCAAATAAAAGCATTCTACACGTCTATGAGATCCATCTCAAAACTTCCGACCGCACTAACGGATCAAATGAGAAACACACCAACTTCGCCAACAACAGGTGAAGACACTTGCTTATCTCTAAAAGTCAACCAACCCACTCACTCAACAGCTGTCTCACAAAATGAATGTCACTATGAAAATTTTTTCTTCTCAACTTTCAAACATCAAATAAAGAACTTTTCGAGGATCTCTATGGCTTCAACTCTTTCTGTTTTTTACTGCGAATCTGTTCTCATCTCTTCTTCTACTATTTCTTGCTATTATTGAACTAAGCTGTCAAATTTGCTTCTTCAGAAAGCAATGTGAACTTTCAATTTCGTGATATGCACTATTTGAGTAAACTGTAAACACTTTCCACAATCCATATGTGTGAGATATTTTTTCTTTACAATGGCAGTTGTACTAAAGGGTACTAGTGTAGAAAAGTTCAGATCCTTGAACGATGCTGACTTGAGATAGCTTTAGCTTCTAAAACAGTTTAGTAATATACTCCGCGTAGACATCAGATAAATTACATGTCAGCAGGAAATTTACTGCATTTCAGTTTGACTGGGATGACTTATGTACTGCTACAGTAAATGTAGATCAAACGATTAATTTTGAGATATTCATTTAAACATTTCACAAATTCAATAATAATTTATTGCAGTGAAACGGCAAACCTCATCTACATTTACTGATTACATTAATCAGATTCTTTTTACCTTAATTTAATTTCACTGTTCAGCTGAGCATGTGTTCTGAAGTATTTCCATAATTTTGAGTCTCTTTTATCGACAATTCTCAATATTACCCACTATTTTTTAATATTTTTTATGAATGTCATCCAAAGATGTATGGAGTATTTGTTTGAGATTTGACCCTTTTCCGTTTGGTCAATTATCAACGATAACATTTGAGATTGTATCAGCGCATTGTAGATATTAGGTGTGTCTTCATGTCTCACAGCGTTTGATTATTTATCTACCTGATTGTTTCATAGCATTTTAAGAGTAATCTTACGCAGTTATTGCAAAAATTTTCGAACATTGTTATCAAACAATAAAAATGTGTGATTTTGCTTACTGCCTTCATGCCTTATAGTTGTATTTGATATTTGCATAATATTGGATAATATGCACT